GTTCCCCACATGGTAGGTGTTTGTTGACTGACTGGTGGACAGAGGCAGTGAATGAGGGGAAACAGCGTTATGGTGTCTCCAGAGGTGACAGCAGAAGTCATTCTTAAGGACATCCCCGAAGCTAAGGTAACGTTGGATGTCAACTATACTCAATTAAAAAATTCTTAAAAACCAGGACCAGGAGAGCCGTGTTGCAAATCATAGCCGGCTTCACCCGAGACCGTCCCCTGCCACCTCTGATGTGCTGTGTGGACCAGAGCAGGTGACTTAGGTTGCTTTGAGCTTCAGTGTTCCTGTCTGTAAAGTTAAGGTGACAGCAGCGTGTCCCCCCCCCCAATGCGGTTGTTGTGGGACCATCCAGGTGGAACCCTGACCCCAGGGCTGGCACAGAGCAGAGGCGTTTGCCCTGAGGAGGAGGAGGGGGAGGTTCACAGTCCGGCTGACGGGAGACCAGCAATAAACAAGGGTTTAATAGCATTTAGAGAGACTAGGAAGGGGGCACCTGGCTGGCTCCGTCAGTGGAGCTCTTGAGTTTGAGCCCCACTTTGGGTGTAGAGCGTGCTTAAAAAAAATAGACGAGGATGGGGACCGTAGTACAGTCAGTCACCAGGGGAGTGACATTAGGGGTGAGACCCAAATAAAGTCAGGGAGAGAGCCATGCAGGGAAGGTGTTCCAGGCAGAGGGAACATCGTGTGCAAAGGTCCTGGGGCAGGACCTGTCTGGCGTGTTGGAGGGACAGCACGAAGGCCCGTGTGGCTGGAGCAGAGTGAGCAAGGGGGAGAGAGGGAGGAGGGGAGGGCAGAGAGGGGACGGGGGCAGGTCGTGCAGGGCCTTGGGGGCCTCAGGGAGGACTGAATTATACTCGAGGGGGCTGAAATTCTCTGCTGCAGAAAGAACCAAGCAGGCAGTTCTGCCCGCACAAGGAATCTGTGTGGGGGCTGAGCCATACTGCCCATTTCCTCGTTGGGGCAAAGCCAGAGAGGCCCCAAGTCCTTACAGTCAGAGGCCCTGTCCCCAGTTCCCCGGGGAGAGGACAGTTACCCCTTGACCACAGGGAACAGCACAGGCTGGGACAGGGACCTAGGAGTAACCTCACACTCAGGGACTAGTTTAAGGTAGGAAGTTGCCGGAATTCTGAGTCGGGCAGCTGAACAGGGGACCGTCCGTTCTGGCTCTCTTGTCCCCTCCTGGGACACGGCCTCTCCGTGTGCTGTTCAGGGCAACGACATGGGGAGAATGACCTAGAAAAACAGCCTCAGAAGGAAGTTTGCCTTGGGGAAAGACCGTGTCCCTGCAATGCCCAGGTCAGAATTAAGGACAGCTGCAGGGGGAGGGCACAACCAGCCAGCACTCGCTCCCTCCCACAGCCTCCCCACGTCCGCCAGCCGGGGGCAGGGAGGGGGGACCCGTGACATCCCGGACACCGGATGATGCTCGCTTTCCTCGCGGTGTGAGCTGAGAGTGAGCACCCCCCTTCCCACCGCTCACGGTGCTGTCCCGTGCGGTGTGCGAGTCCCCAGGCGTTTTGTGGGGGGGGCACCTGCCCACGGATTCACGCGTCCGCCTGAGTCGAGAATTCCGTTTGCTGTTCTGTGTTCCCGTACTTTGCCGTGAACAGGGCTATGCTGTCTGTAATTGCTTGGCCAGCCGGTTTGTCTCTAAGCCCCGTCTGACTGCACCCCGGCTGCCTTTCTCTGCGGGTCCATCCGTGTCTCCCAGAGCCCCGCCACAACCGGGGGTCACAGCCTACTTCCTC